TCATTCTGAAAGTTCCTAAAATTCAATTCCACCTCATGGTAGAAGACTGTGCTCCACACTGAACAGATCTTTAAGTGAAGTGTATGTGTTAGTCAACAAGTAAAACTCACAACAATTCCAAGTTGTGTCTCACACACACACACACACACACACACACACACAGCCCTAAAGCTGTGAACCAAAGCTAACTGGTAGGTAGTTTGGATAATTCTAGAGTAAATTCATGTGTTTTGATCCTAGGGAAAGACTGGTTGGTAAACACTGGAAATCTTGCTCAGCACAGTGGTGTCCCTTGCCCTCTAAAACATTCCAGTTCAAAGTTAAAACCCTAAAGAAATGTACTTTGAACCAGTAAGAAGGGAATTCAAATCCTGGATGATTTCTACTTTAAGACTGCAAATGTTATCCCAACACAACAAAAATTCTAGCTAATAGTTCAGAATTATAATGCCTTGATCTAAAGGTATATTTTTCTATTTGATTTATATGGCATGCAACAAATAAATGACTTATTTCAAAAATACCATCACATTTGTTTAATGCTAGTAGTCCTGTTGAAGGAAAATGCATTTTTAGTGTGTGTGTATGTGTGGATGGCTATGTTGGGAGGGTTCTGCCCCAGGAGATTTGGCAACCATGATTGGACCTCTTGGATCCAAGGCAGCAAGTCTCTTCAGGCTCTTTCTGGAACAGCCTTTGCAAACTGTTTGAGCCAAGGGCTCGGTGAGGATCAAGCTTTCACTCGATGCCTGAGCCACCTCACCAGTGGAGAATCCCATTGCTAGTCATCTGGAATGAATAGAATCTGTAAGTCTCTAGTATACCAGTCTACACCAGAAACTCACAGGCTACACTCCTCACACTGTCCACTTTACAGTTGGCTGGGATAACCTCTTGCCTGCTTACCTATAAACACAAGAATCTTCTACAGGGGCAAGATTTTTATCTCAAGTTCAAATGTATTGTTGTGTTTTTTAGGGGGGTTTCTATTTTCCTAGACTTTTGTGAGCACTTAGTGCCAGATTCTGCCCTAGGAGCTTTACACATGTCGCTTCATCACTTCTTACCACAGTCCAAATCATTTCCCAGCAGATACAGTACAGACTCTAAGTCATTCTGTTGGCATTCACATACCAGCTCTATCACTTGCAAAGTGATAATCTGCTAAATCTCTCTGTCCCTCAGTTTCCTTATAAGTGAGGTAGCGATATTCTTAATATCTCATACAAATACTGTGAGGACTACGATGAGGTAATATATGTAAGAAGTTAAGCACACAGTAAGCGTTCAAAAAAGGTTAGCTCTTCTTGTCACCATTAAAGAGGATAACATTGAGGCTTTAAGGGGTTAACATGGCTTTCCTCAAAGTTTACAACTAGTAAGTCGAGAAGCCAGGATTTGGACCTAGGTCTTTTGACGCCAGAGACTGTCCACTTATTCACTGTGCTAGACAGCAGAAATCAGATTATTCAATCCATTAAAAATCTGTCATAAATTGAATGGATAAAAATGGGAATTCTGTGCCATTTATCTGACTTTTATTTATAAGACAATGTTTAACTTATGAAGTCTCCTTATTATATTCATTGTGTCTATACCTTTAACCCCAAGAAAAAGCTTGAAGCTTGTCATTCAAAGGATAGTATTTCTTTCTGTCCTTCAGACACCACACCCCCACTTCCAAATACACACACACACACACACACACACACACACACACACACACCTTTATAAAGAGAATATTCTAAACTGACTTTATAAAGCACAGTTCTGAAGGTGGCTGGACTTTTAACTTCAGTAACAATAGCCTTGTTAGAATAAAATTGTTAATAACATTGTGGTCTGATTCTTCTGAAGCATCTCTGGTCACTGTCTTCACAGTGGCTAAGCTACTATACATTCCCACCAGTCATCCACCAAGGAATCCAATTTTTTCACACCACTGCCAACATTTATTTTGTATTAATTTTTTGACATAACAGCCATGCTAACAGGTATGAAATGACATCTCACTGTGGGTGTCACTTGTTTTATGCTAATATTTGTAATTACTGTAAAAGTTAGTGTAAAAGATTGTTAATCTACTACTTTAATTAATATCAGATTTGTATATGTACATATACATCTGTGCATTTGTTCTTCTAGCTCCAGAATGTCAGATGGCTCCCTAAAACATGTAAACAATAAGATGAAGAATTTAAATAGCTTAAGTCATGGCACTGGGAATATAGAAGACTGTAAAAATTGAATTAAATTATTAAGTTATTCCATATGATGGAAACTCCAGGAAAAAAGGCTTTTTCTTGGCTCAGATATGTACTCTCTCTCTCTATATATATATATATATTTTTTTTTTTTTAAAGATATTTGATGTTACTGACACTAGCAGATTTCAGACTGAAGGTAAATAGTGTGTTTTTTAATGAAATAGTGTTGGATTTGGGCCTCCCCAGTGGCGCAGCGGTTGAGCACTGGGTTATGAAGCTGCCCGCAGCCTCTGCAGCACCAGTTCAATCCCCAGCTGCTCCCCGGCCACCGGAGGAGGGTCCCACATGGCGCGCAGACCTCTCCTGCCGCCCGCTGCTCCCCTCAGCAGTGTACTTCGGTCCTTCTGCCTGCTCTGCTCCCCGCTCTGGCTCTGGTGAATTCTCTCACCCTCCCGCGCTTCTGACTGTACCCAGTGCTTGTATAAATAAATAAACAAACAAACAAACAAATAAATAAAGTGATACCATTAAAAAAAAAGAAAGAAAGAAATAGTGTTGGATTTAGAATGACTCTCATTAACCATTCGGAAGCTTTTTTTGTGTAAAATAGTGACTTCAAAGTACAATGTAGAAAAATCAGTCAATTCCACATATCTCAGTAATGTGCTAAGGTCTATTCCTCTGGAATTTAGTCAATGTTTGAAATTTGTTTCAGTGAAACTAGGAACAAATGTATAATTTTCAACTTTATGTTGGAAAAAAACTTCATAGCTGGATATATTGTCAACCAGTTTTCAAGAACATGAAAAGAAAAAAAAAAAGAAATAGAAGCTGTGTCAAACAGATGTTTTTAAACAATTGAGAAAATGTCAAAATTACTGTAAAAATGTTGGTCTGAAGTTTTACCTAGAAGTTTGAAGTAACAGATAATAATAACTGACGTATTTCTCCAGCATTTCTAATATTCTGGGCACAGTTCTAAGTAGCTTTGTATATAATAACTCACTCCTCTAAACTTAATAAAGTTAATCCTATCACTATCGTCCCCATGTCAAATAGGGAAACTGAGGCACAGAACAGCTAAGGAGCCTTGCTCCTGGCCATACAACTAGGAAGTGTTAAGAGCTAGAATTCACACTCAACATGCAGCCTGGCTTCAGAGACCCAGCCCAGCCACTAAACTGTACTGTCTAGGCAAGTACTGGCCTGGCTACCTGGCATATAAATATCTCAGATTTCTGTTGTGCTATAATTTGTTGTTGTTGTTGTTTCTTTAGATGTTCAAACTCACCTTACTCATCCTTGACATTTCCCATAATTCATCACTTTACTAGAACCTGGAATGTCTTTTATTTTTTTAATTTACCACTATGAAACTCTAAGTTCTAGCTCAATAATGAACTCTTATGCAGCCATTAAAAATTATACTTTTACAAAGAATTAGAAGAACATGAGGGAATACTTGTAAAATGAAGTGAAATAGCAGTAAACAGGAACCTTTCATTGAGGCTGCCATTGGGTGGGAGAATCAAATTATTCTTACTTATTTGCTTTCCTTAATTTTCCATAAGATTTATTTATTTCATTTTTTAGAAGGCCAATCAGAGCCTTTCTTTCCAAAAAAAAAAAAAATACTGCAGCCCCCAGTATTACACTGATTATATAATTTATTTCACAGTCCTGAGCTCTATGAAGAAAGATGGCAACATTTAAACCTACACTGTCATGTGACTCTTAATTTTAATTCATTTAAATTCATTTAAATTAAGTTTTAATTCATTTTAATTAAATTAAGTGAAAGAATCCATTATCCGTGGCAATAGCCCCATTTCATGTACTCAGTAGCCACCTGTAGCTAGTGATAGCTTTTCCGTCATCCCAAAAAGTTCTATTGCACAGTACTGGTTTAGAAGAAAGAACACAGAATCTGGAGCCAGATAATTTGGAATCAGGTGCTGATAAGAGCTGGTACTTGCAGTGTGAAATGTTTCCCATAAATAAATCAGGAGTAATGATAATATCACTTACCATGTTAAGGAGATTAAGAAGATCAAATAAGATGGTGCATGTGACAGTTCTCTGAAAATTATAGTGTGGTTTACCAGATAGTTGCTGCCTTAGATGTCTCCCAGTTTGAACCTAATCTAGGTCTTTGTGGACCCATTCCAAACCCATAAATAGGTCATATCAAGAATTTTGCCAGAATGACACCATTAAAAATCAGACTTACCGGATCACCTATGCCCAATTCTTAGTATTGTGGCTGCTCCATGTCTTGTAAAAAGTTTCAGCACACAGCCCAACATCTGCCTGCAGAGTGACACCATTGTTCCTTAACAATGTGAATCTATTTCTCTTTCCATTCTTAAATGAAAAACACTCTCAACAAACTTAGTCTGCCATAGAAATAAATAAATGAGGTATAATACTATAACTAACAGGAGCCCAACTTGAACTAACAGTGCAAGAATTTATTTCGGGGGCTGCAAAAACGAGAGGTTTTCACCAACAATTGCAGCAGTTTCTCTGCGCTTCAAAGCCGTTGGTCTACTGATTAAGGGAAGTGCTTGTTCACTTTGATTTTTTTTTTTCCCCTCCGAGTCACTTCTGGTTTTTCCTGCAAAACAACTTGTCTTTTTTAGCCGGATTTAGAACACTGTTGCATTTCCAATGAGATGTCTCCATCTTTGTAATTAATCACCCGAGGAGTCTTGATTTAAAAAAAAAAAAGGCAGCCAAGTTCCTGCTCCATCAGGCCGATGCCACCCTCACCCTTGCTTCTGCCTCCCCTAGGTTTCCGCCAGCCGTGGATGCCTTTGACATTATGACCGCAGAGGATTCCACCGCAGCCATGAGCAGCGACTCGCCCGCAGCGTCCACGGCCAAGGTGCCCGAGGGCGTGGCCGGCGCGCCCAACGAGGCGGCCCTGCTGGCGCTGATGGAGCGCACGGGCTACAGCATGGTGCAGGAGAACGGGCAGCGCAAGTACGGCGGGCCACCCCCCGGCTGGGAGGGCGCACACCCGCAGCGCGGCTGCGAGGTCTTCGTGGGCAAGATCCCGCGCGACGTGTACGAGGACGAGCTGGTGCCCGTGTTCGAGACCGTGGGCCGCATCTACGAGCTGCGCCTCATGATGGACTTCGACGGCAAGAACCGCGGCTACGCCTTCGTCATGTACTGCCACAAGACCGAGGCCAAGCGCGCGGTGCGCGAGCTCAACAACTACGAGATCCGCCCGGGGCGCCTGCTGGGCGTGTGCTGCAGCGTGGACAACTGCCGCCTCTTCATCGGGGGCATCCCCAAGATGAAGAAGCGCGAGGAGATCCTGGAGGAGATCTCCAAGGTCACCGAGGGCGTGCTCGACGTGATCGTGTACGCCAGCGCGGCCGACAAGATGAAGAACCGCGGCTTCGCCTTCGTGGAGTACGAGAGCCACCGCGCAGCGGCCATGGCGCGCCGCAAGCTCATGCCCGGCCGCATCCAGCTGTGGGGCCACCAGATCGCCGTGGACTGGGCGGAACCGGAGATCGACGTGGACGAGGATGTCATGGAGACGGTGAAGATCCTCTACGTGCGCAATCTCATGATCGAGACCACCGAGGACACCATCAAAAAGAGCTTTGGCCAGTTCAACCCCGGCTGCGTGGAGCGCGTCAAGAAGATCCGCGACTATGCGTTCGTGCACTTCGCCAGCCGCGAGGATGCCGTGCATGCCATGAACAACCTCAACGGCACGGAGCTGGAGGGCTCGTGCCTGGAGGTGACGCTGGCCAAGCCTGTGGACAAGGAGCAGTACTCGCGCTACCAGAAGGCGGCCAAGGGCGGAGCCGCTGCAGAGGCGGTGGTGCAGCCTCCCAGCTATGTGTATTCCTGCGACCCCTACACGCTGGCCTACTACGGGTACCCCTACAACGCGCTCATCGGGCCCAACAGAGACTACTTCGTGAAAGGTTAGTGGGGGGCTGTTCTGCTGGGTAGAACCCCCAAGAACCATGTCCACTTAGCAGGGGGTGGCATGAACATTGTGACTATCATGTTTAGAGCTGGTGGGCTCCACCGCTGCTCCTTCCCCTTCTACACCCCCACCCCATTTGTGTGCCTGTTCTGGGTTCTGTTCTTTCCTGGCTTCTAAGACAATCTGTCGCACTGAGAGAAATGCAGATGGTTTGTAGCATTGGGGTGACTGGTGAAACTAGGCCCGACTAGGGTTAGTTCACCAGTCTGTAGCTACGTTGATTCTTTATGATGTTGGGGAGTAGGAGGCACAGTTTAGTTTTGTCTTTTTGTTATGTTTTTTTTTTTTTGGGGGGGGGGTGTTTGTTTGCATCATTGGCTAGGGTATACTGAGAGCAAGCTTTAGCCAAGGAAACAAAATACCTACCGTCTGTGTCCTACACTCACATGAATTGACTCTGTGACTTCAGTCAGTCCCTAGAACCTCCCTAGAACCTGTTTTCTCACGCATGAAATGAGGAAGGTGAACCAGCACATCCCCTTCCAGATCTAACTTCTTTACAGTCTATTAATGTTTCTTCTTTATGGAAGTTGCATTTGCCATTCTAGGAACTCCCCCTCAAAGTCCATCTCATGCATTAAGCAGACATAAGCTGTGAGTCTCAGCTGGAGTAGAGTGTTTGAAGGAGCTTTCCAGCTCATTGAAGAGTTGCATTAGACTCGACAGACACCAAAGTGCCAAGAATCTTGAGTTTAGATCTGCCTTCTGCACTTTACTGTTGGTTGCTCATCATTTTCTGTATTGTTATTATAAGCAGGCAGCATAAGAGGCCGGGGTCGAGGTGCTGCTGGCAACAGAGCCCCAGGGCCCAGGGGTTCCTACCTCGGGGGATATTCCGCTGGCCGTGGTATATATAGCCGATATCATGAAGGGAAAGGAAAGCAGCAAGAAAAAGGATATGAACTTGTACCGAATCTGGAAATCTCTGCTGTCAATCCAGTTGCCATTAAGCCTGGTACAGGTCAGTATAAACCAGCGTGAGAAGCATCCATTCAGCCTAACCCACAACCCTGGCCCTGAAGTGACCCCAAACCTTCCTCAGACTCTTTCTGCACATGGGTTCCTCTTCTCACAGGCAGCGAGAGTTTAGGCAAAGAATGTGGCCTCCTGGGCCTTATTTGGAACTAAAGGGGACAGGACGGTCTAGCTCTGAACATGTCTGAGTCAGACTTTCCAGTAGTGGGGTTTTTTTAATGGTTCTCTCCTGTTAATAGGCTTTTTTTTTTTTTTTTTTTTCAGTCTGTGACCAGGTAGGCAGAGTTGTGGGGAGAGAGATACAGATGGAAGAATGAGACTCTTCTGTATCTTTTACTAGCTAGAAACTGTCTTGTCTTAAGTATATTTCTATCCACCAGAAGCCAGAGGATACAGCTTATTGCCAATTCTGAGAGTTATTGGGAATGGTAGAAAATTGTCCTTCAAGAGCAAATAACAAACACTACATGCATGTCCTTTGCCATTGTCTTAACAAAACCAGAGTATCTGGGAACAAGGCAGTCGTAAAAGTTTTGTAGCTGCTAATTCCCCAGATTTTAATTTCCAGCATTCATTTCCTCCTCTTGCTGGATCAGTAATTGAGGATGGGACATTTAAGTAATTCAAGCCAGGGACCTTGAACTTTGCTTTCAACCCCAGGCCCCACAAACCAGTTTGCCAACGTTGTTTGTGCCCATTGGTCTCCTAATGTGAAACAGGTCTCCTTTCTGATCCTAACCTACAAGGAACTTTCTTTAACTCCATTGTGTACAGCACAGACTCTCAGCACACACCACACAAGCATCCGAACACATGAAGACTCAGTGGTGCATAATTGGAATGAGTCTCTTCTCCACACCTTTTCCTGGTCTCACAGAGATTGCACTGAAGGGCTCCTTGAGAGCAGGCTTACTACCAACCTCAGCTGTTCTGAATTGTCTTCTGGTTGAGGATTATGTTCTCCTTTAACGAGCTAAAAAGGAGATAAAAGGTCTGCATTGGGGACATAAGTTTGCATTGGCCATATAGGACTTCAAAGCATTTTCCCCATTGAGCTTCCTTGTAAAATAATTCACTGTTTTTTGGGTTTTGGGGTACTTTTGGCCTGTGAAAAAATTCTACCTTTTCTGCAGTTAAATAACTTCTCAGACTGATTTCCTTATACATGCCATTGGTGCTCTAAGCGATGTAAAACTGATCTCCTATCTATTATCCCTAAAACAGAGTTTAGGGATGTAGGTGTTGTCACTTCTACTTGTTGAGAAAGTGACTCCAGTTGGCAAGTTGCAGTAACTTAAGATCTAATTAGAGAAAAGAGCTCAGCCTATGAGTGTGTATTTGTGTCCTGAGACATAAAGTAGAAATTCTTATGGGCTGGTAGCCAGGACAGTTCTAAATTAATGGGTATTACTCCAACATAGCTAAAACTCACAACCCTCTCTGGACACTATCCCCTGGGCCTCCATTTCTGAGTCATCCAGAAAATTAGAATTGGGTGTTTTAGGATAAACTCGGGGCAGTGGTGAAGCATCTGAGCACAAGACCATATGGTGGAAAAGGCAAAGATTTGAAGAGGATGTAGTTTATTGAATGACCATACCAGGGCTTAACGTAGTCATTTGTCTCTATTATCAGGTCCATATTTACTGGAATAAATACAACTACAGTTGGAGAAAAAAATTAATAAAAGGGTACTTAGTGTATGTGTTTCATTTTCATGCTTTTCAGAACACACTGCACACATACCAGCTCCTCCAAGTCAGGAACAGTATTTTTTCCTTTTTATCTCTTTTTATCATACATTGACTTTCAGTAACTGCTATCTGTTTGAATCTTTGGTCAAATTGTGTCCTTTGGACTTGGCTCACAAACACATCTTTAGATTGGCAGGTCATTAAAAAGCCACTCTACTGCTTCCGTACTGTCAGTAGACATTTAAAAATTAGGAAGTTTTCCTTTTTTTCATATGCAGTTTTCTTTGAAGAGGTAATGTTGAAATCTGAAATGCATCTTAGGTTGATATATACAGTCCTCTGAGTTCTCAGCATAAAATCCTCAACAGGGCCTCCCCAGTCGCGCAGTGGTTGAGCACTGGGCTGCGAAGCTGCCTGTAGCCTCTGCAGCGCCGGTTCAATCCCCGGCCACCAGGCGAGGGTCCCGCATGGCGCGCAGACCTCTCCTGCCGCCCGCTGCTCCCCTCAGCAGTGTATTTCATCACTCTGCCTGTTCTGCTCTCCCCTCTGGCTCTGGTGGATTCTCTCATCCTCCCGCACTTCTGACTGTACCCAGTGCTTGTATAAATAAATAATAAATAAATCTTTAAAAAAAAAAAAAAAAAAAACCCTCAACAGAACCTGCTTATAATGTGGTGAAAGTAAAAAGGGCAGTGGGTCTGGCAGTGGGTGAGGTGGTGTTAGGAACAGACAGGCCCATGCTCACACTTGTTGCACCTCAAGCCTCTGATCCCACTTCTTATTCTGAGCTTGTTTATTGAGTTAACAGGCCCTTTCTTGCTCACAGGACATCACGAATAAGATTCAAAAGGCAATTTTCTGTAGCAGCAGCAGGAAATGTTGGTGCAGAAACCTGATTCTAGACCTTCCATCCATGACAATCCATTTGGTTACTGATGAAAGACAAGCTGGAGGGGAGCTGTACTTGCCACCTCCCCTCACTACTTCCTAGGAGGCACCCTGTTCCTGGGCTATGAGAACATTAGTCAGCAGGGAGAGTGGCTGCTAACCTTGGCTTTTTAAATCTCACAAAGACAGTGATGGACCCTCCTCAGTACTTCAGGTGGTTGATCTGTTTCCCTCCTTCTTCTTTTGCAGTGGCTATCCCTGCTATTGGGGCCCAGTATTCCATGTTTCAGGCAGCTCCAGCTCCTAAAATGATTGAAGATGGCAAAATCCACACAATGGAGCACATGATCAGCCCGATCGCGGTGCAGCCAGACCCAGCCAGCGCTGCCGCCGCCGCTGTCATTCCCGCTGTGTCTACACCACCACCTTTCCAGGTAGGGTTGTCGCCACAGATTATCATTCATGTGTGACAGACATTTCTTTTTCATTTAGTCATTAGTATTCAGCAGGAGAAGTTCCTGTGTGTCTTACCTCTCTTGGGTTTGGGTGGCAGAAAACATTTTAATACAATGTATGACCAGGCAGAAAAATTTTAAATCATAATTATACTACCCTAATATTATCACTGTATTAAAGGTGGGAAGCAGGATTCAAAAATGACATGTAATTCTCACAGTGTCATAATATTGCACATACTGGTTTTTGTGGGGTGTTCTTTTTTTTTTTTTTTTTTTAATGACACTGGGTAATTTTTAACTCATGGCCCTATAGTTAAGGAGCTAATACACAAAGTCCAGGGAGATAGTTCACATTCTCACATTCCAGATTGCAGCTCACTGAACATTTTGTTTTAAAGTCCCCTCAAATATATGCATGTCGTATGTAGGTATGCACATATGTCAGTTCTTGTAGAAATAGAGAAATACCTATGGAAATGAAGATATATGAAACTTTACAAAATTCATCTTTAAACCTCTCCTCCAGCCTAACCCTTATCTCCTCCCAATCCAATCATCCCATCCCTTCCCCACCTTCTCACCAGGAGCTCTTATCTGTGGTTTCTGCAGTTCACTTCTTCCACAGTCTCCTATCCACCTTGCCCTGGGAATTACCTCTTCTTCTCACTGCCTTCACTATCAGTTGGCATGTGAGTGCCGATACACTGTTTCCCCCAGTAAAATGACCCCTCCAGATCAAGAGGTGGGTCTTAAATTTCTTTGTATCATCAGTGTACAGCACATAGTGATATGTGACATGAGTGACATGTCATCCATCCAGACAGGAAAAAAATCTGGGTAAAACTCTTTTTTGTGACACAATGAATCTCAAATACCTTATTGATCAACTGGCACAGATACTCAGACCTGGGCAGGGGGCGGGAGTGTCTCATCTAATTAGATAAGGTGGTAGGGGGGAGAGGGGAAATAGGCAGAAATTCTTAGACTCAAACCCCAAAGATTCCAATTCAAAAGAACTGGACTGGGGTTCTAGAATCCTTATTTTGTACAATCTCCGCAGTGATGCTGAAACAGAGCCAGACTTATAAACCACTGCATTAAGATGCAGCTTCCTTGCTCTTGCCCACTCCAGCACCAGTCTTGACTGCCTTTTTCAGAAAGGGTCAGACTAGTTGACATTTTTTTTGTCTGTTGATATGTCATTAAGTACTCTTTAACTCCCAACTTTCCACAGCCAAATAAAGGAATAGCGTGTAAGTGATTCACAGTGTAGAATGACAACTAAGTGTGGTTATTACTTGTGGACTGACTGTAAATATCTACAATAACCTACAAATAATACATGGTGGAATTCTTGTAATAATTTCTAAGTTCTCTTTATTAAAAAACTCCTGAACTTTGGTCTTTTGTGTGTAATGTTATAACTCCAGGCCCAAATTCCAGGCCTTAAGATCTTATTCTAGATCTCAGGAAGTTACCTTACTTAATCTGTACTGCATGTTGCCGTCATTGTCCTTATGCTCAGTCTTTGCTTATGAATTTGTTCCATGTATAATTGTTGTCGGTTGATTCTTGTGGAGATTTTTCTCTCCTTCAATATTCTTCAGAATGCCTGGAGCTACTTAGTGCCCCTGGTGCTCTCCTTCTGTGTCTGACCTTGAGATACCTTCTACCTGGTTTCTCTGACATGATTAGTCCTCTGCCTCCTTTGTATTCTCTGCCACATTGCAGAGAATACATAAACACCATTGCTTGGTGAATAGAGCACCTTTCTAACTGGAGTCACACCAGAAACATGTCCCATCATGGCTTCTAGAAACTTCCTCTGGAATACTTTGGGTCATCCTCCCTTGTCTTTTAGGTGCTGCTCAAGGGTGTCCCTGTGTAGTCATTTTATACTCCAAATTTCATATAACCTTTACAAGTAATAAAAAATATACATTTACAGATATAAACTTAAAATCACTTCTTCAAATTAATTTCTCAGTGTGTTCTCAAGCCTCACAACAAATCTGCAATATAGAGAAAGGATAACCACTCCTTGTTGAGACTTTGAAAATGTTCCTTTGAACATAATTTTGTGATTGTGCTTTGCAGATTTCATAATGGAATAACTAAGTTCTTTATAAAAACCCAGGAATAAAAATATAAATCTAATTTCATATGTTCTGAATTATATTTTGAAGATGTATTTAAGACTTAGAGAGTGTGGCAGCATTTACTACAGGGCTATGTTTTATGGAACGTAGCTGCACCAGATATTTTGTTAAGCACTTTTTCTTTTAACAAAAATCCCCTTTTCCATAAAATGACTCTCAAACCCAGCCCCCACTGCACCCCTATTTGTTTTGAATAATCTGTTCCTCTTTCAAGAGGAGGGAAAGAAGTAACAGGGACATTTACCAAGCCAGCCATGGCATCCACAGTAAGGCAAATGTCTACATTTCTGAGAAGCGTGGTCTATAGCAACAACTATTTGATTTCACAGCTTAAGAAACTGCCTCTTTAGAGATCTATATACTTTGTTCCATAACATTGTCATAGTCTATGTGCTCCATTTTTGAAACATGTTCCTTCAGGTAAGTATAAATTGAGCATCTGGCATGTATTTTAGGAAAAATATTCATGTTTAATTACAGCGAAATCTACTGAGCAAAGGGTAGATTCCTAACTCCTTTCTCTATGCTGAGTGAAGCAGTGGGTGAAAGATTCTGAAGTATCTAAACTTTGAATTCCTCCCACTTTTACCAGTAGAATTTGAACGAGCCTTGAGGATGCAACTCCCCCTTCCCTTACTGACTCTTACAATGATTGTTTAACCCTCTGCTCCCTGCCCTGCATATGCAAACCTTTGCTTTTACTTCTGCTCCCCCCATCTCCTAGGAGTTGAATGAATGAATGACCAAGTCAGATAGATATCTGCACACTCTCAGTAAGGGCTCTTTTTCTCTCTCCTCCGCAGGGCCGCCCCATCACTCCTGTGTACACAGTGGCTCCAAACGTTCAGAGAATTCCCACTGCCGGGATCTATGGGGCCAGTTACGTTCCATTTGCTGCTCCGGCCACAGCCACGATTGCCACACTACAGAAGAACGCCGCAGCCGCTGCCGCCGTTTATGGAGGCTACGCAGGCTACATACCTCAGGCCTTCCCTGCTGCTACTATTCAGGTCCCCATTCACGATGTCTACCAGACATACTGAGACTGGTGACGAGACCCAAAACCACTGAAGGAACACTTTACTATTTATGAAGAAAGAACATGTTGAATTATCACACAGATAAAACCTGAAAGTGAAGAATGTTATCAAATATCATGCTGAAATATTTTATATACATGAAGTTTTCACTAGTTTTTTAAGACTTTTCAACTTAGCAGGCCTGTGTTCATACATTTCTAAGAGACTTATAATGGTTCGTGCCTTAATACCATCTCTTAAAAATTTGTATGCTGTAGTACATTTGTATAGAGGTTTTATGTTTTTTTTTTTATTTTTAAGGATATATTTTCAGTATGAAGGTTATTTTCTTAACTTCTGCACTCCAGAGATTTCTATTTTGTAGTACCTTCAATAATATATCAACTATATGTTAAAAAGCACACTTGAGCAGCTAGGGAACTATTTTGAGAAATATAGTCAATATTTAAAGATACAAACAATAGTGCTTTAAAAATACTACAGAAAAGGTTATTTTAAAATTTATACTGGAAAGTGCAATTTGAAAATGAGTAAAACCTCTATTTCTGTTGGCATTAAGGGTTAACGATGTTCTCGTGTGTTATTCATGCTGGGTCTATTCTTTAAAAGAAAGTGAACACTCAGTCGCTCCTTAAGCCAACACTGAAAAGACTTGTCACATTTCTGAGTCCAGACACTGGAAAGCTCTAATCTGCCACCATCACCCTGGACCCCTTCTTATCCCCTCCTTCTATCCCCAATCCCATCTTCCAGGTTGGCAAGTCGAAGATATGAATTATTCTAGTAGAGAAAACATTGATGGCTTTTTTTTTTTACTTCTTCCTGGGTTTTTGTTGGGGTTTTTTTTTTTTTGTTGCATTGTGGTTTTTTGTTTGTTTGTTTTGGTTGGGGAGGTATTTTTAATAGCAGAGTATGAGTAAGCACAAGATTTTTAATAGTTTTCATAAGGTATCTTTGCATAGCTATTTAATTGTCCAATATAAAAAACCTTAAGTCCTTTTGAATGCTTTTATTTTATTTGTTTTTGAAGTATGAGTTTGTAGAGACAAGAGAATGTTATTTTAGACAAGACCCCCAAAGATTCTTGTCACAGAAAGTTATGCTTCTGGTTGCTTCATCATGTTTCTTTTAAGAATGTCTGGTTGCTAAGGGTGTTGGAAATACTGTTTTTCAAATAGGACTTTTCCTCCATTGCTGTGCACATGGCAGGTAAATGGAATTGGGGTGTGCACACCCAGGAGAAGGTAGAGAGGACACCCCCCACCCCAGGATTTAAGAAATAGTTTGTAAATATCTCCTACTGCTCCTTTTTAGTTATTTTATGTTGCGGAAGTTCGTGGTATCTAGTTTAATGCAAAATGAAACCATTTTATTTCAATGTTATTAAAGAAGTTTGTTTTATTAGGAAGTAAATATATTGTTGCAGTGTTTTGTGCCTGTTTAAAGGCTGTTGTTTAGCAGAGTGAATGTAAAATACAGTAAAATGTTAAGATTGTAATCTACTTTATGAATTACATCAACTTGGAATTTTTTTTAAAGATTCTATCGAGGAAGTGAGGTGTGCAATAAGTAGCAATAACACAGTTGTGTTTTTATGTCATATTAGAGATCCATAAAATCTTTCCACACTCAATTTTTGCTGAAGGCTGAGTTCTTGTTCTTGGGTGAATAATAGGATCTGGCCTTCAGCAAATATTTTAGTTTTGTTTTAAAATAAGAGATTCCCAAGTGCCCTTCCCCCCACTTCCCCTATCTTAAGGCAAGATGATTTTTTTTTATATATATAAGCAATATTTATTTAACTATTCTGTAAAATTATTGAGTGCCTGCTAAGGCCTTTAAACATTCCTTTCCAGCATTCTTAAATGACATAAAGTAATTGTGCAATGTTCCTGATGATGTACCCAACAAGCTGCATCTAAACCCTGTTGGAATAAGTTATCCAACAAAATGCAGTTCGGATCAGAACCTCATCCTTTGACCCTGTGTGAAAGAAGAAGTATCCTTCCCCCGAGGGATGGTCACAGAGGTTTGCTGGATGAGACTGTGACCCAGTAGACTTACTGTATTTTACATGTGCCTGTAAATTATTTGCCAAAAGGAAAAAAAGTTAAGAAAAAGGAAAAGAGAATTATTTTAACATGGCAGCCACCAAACTACCTTAAAAACAAATGTGGTGACATAGTCAGCTAAGTGTCAGTGAGCCTCCTGTCTGTGTTCTGTTCCTGTTGTTTCGAAACCATTTCACATACACTACTGAGGTAAGTTTATAACTTGAAATGTGAACTTTTTTTTTTTTTAGGGTTAAGAACAAACTATAAATGTAAAAAAAAAGTTTTAGCATTCTGTTTTCAAACATGCTCATAGTTTAGTTATCTTTAGCTGCTTCATATTGGAAAAGCTTTTAAATTTAATTAGATCTTGCTCCACTTACAGTACATTCTTGGGATGTATGTAGTAAATAAAGCTTTCTTTAAAACAATTTCAGTCCCTTGTTTTCTATTTTTTTAAGTTTATTTATTTATGCATACAAGAACTGGGGTACAGGCCAGAGGTGTGGGAGGTGAGAGGACTCACCAGAGACAGAGCAGGGAAACAGAACAGGCTGACTGATGGAAATACACTGCTGAGGGGAGCAGTGGGTGAGTCAGGAGAGGTCTGCTGCGCCATGTGGGCTGCTCCCCCGCCAGGGATCGAACTCAGACTGTGGTGGCTGTGGACAGCCTCAGAGGGCAGCTTCATAAGACAGCTTCACAGGTTGCATCTTAACCCCCTGAGTCACCAGGGAGGCCCTCAATCCCTTGTTTTGAATTGTGTTTTTTATTTTTTCCTCTCAAATCAGAAAACCTTTATAGCAAAGGAGGAATTGACTGATTCAATGTTTTCAACTGGAGAAATCAAGTTAGTGCCATTATCTTTGAGTTGTATTGACCACTGAAAATGATGGGTGTGGAGCACATAGTAAAAATTGAATATGATCAATATTAGCAATATGATCCAACTTAAGTTCAGATGGTAGAAAGTTTGGACGCTCAAAGTACTATTTGGACACTCAAAGTACAATTATTGAGTTGTACTCAAAGTACAACTCGAATGGGATTAGGATGTGGCAAGACCTGTCACTGCTCGCACCTGAGTTTGTGATTCAGAACCCTAAATGAAGGCAGTTGGTAGGATATTAAGTTGTTTGGTGATTTCCTGAAAGTGCTGGGGTGAATCGAATGTCAGTCACTATCAGAAACCGAAGTCTTCTGGTTCTCCTTTTCATAGTGTCCAACAAGGCTTACAGAACACTTCCTTCCCTTTTCTGTCGAGAGCTTTTCTAATTTGAGACAGAATCCATCAGCAAGGCCAATACATGATTCAAGGGAAAGTGGTAGGTTGTCAATGGAATTACTTCTAAAAGTTGCCCCACTTGCCTTTGCATTGATTAAAATAAAGAATTGTAACTTCTGGGTCTTGAGCAGCCTGGGTTATGGCCTCCTAGCCCACATTTCATGGAATTCTAACTTCCTGCTTCCTCTTAGAAAGATAAAGGCCTTTTCAGAGAGAGAAGGGACCAGGAAACTTTCCAAGATAACCTATCATTAGGCAATATTTTCTGCGACAACAAGATCTGCTGATTCCTTCTTGTTCTAGGAGAAAATTAGACACCCCTTTAGTTGTAGAATCACAGAGTTTGATTTTGTTAGAGAAAAAAAATAGCAATCACATACAATGTATATTATACCTCTACCAGGCCTAGCTTTGTTCTAGGGGTTGCAACAGCTTCAGCACAAAATTGGTTGGGGATCAAAGATAAAGGCTATGACTAGGCTCTTCGTGGCTGTTTGGTCTTCATAATCTCAGGTGGACTGCACAATAACTCAATAAAGTAGGTAGGGCAGATCTATGAGTGGCCTAGGTCACAGCTAGTAAGAATCAAGACAGAAGTCTGCTCTCAGACTCCAACTCCCAGACCCTTTCTAAAAGCACACTGACCCTGGAAGTAGATAAAACTAGTCATGCCAACAACTTGCTTCAGAGTCTAGAGAAATAAAAAAGCTTTTAAATGAAGTGGGGTACGTGATCCTTTACAATAAATGTATACTATCTCAATGATCATAAAGTCTAGAATCTTTTGGGTGATCAGCCTTTATATCAGAGTTGAACTTTAAAAACAAACAAACATGAAACGTGATGTTTTGGCATGAATCTTTTGATGAAATGACATTTTGACACCATGACAATATATTATTGGATAGGATGACATAGATGTTCTTACCTTATCCTTGTCCTACCCCTCCCTTGGTACATTCTGCATGACTGAGCACCAAAAGTCAAGGGCAGGTTAGGATTAAATACAGAATGAGACTCAGAAGATGGCCACAAATTGTTTGATTCCAAGTTCTAAGCTGTCAGGCTAGATTTTCTTTTTCCTCTCTTCTCTCATTAATCTTCCTTTTCCTGGTATTCGTATTCCTGTTTCCTAACTCCTCACACCAGTAATTCTAGAAAACATGTACTTGCTCAAATCACAGACCTTGTAAGCAAGGACGATGGCCTAGAAGAAGAAGGCTAGCTTTGTATTCAGGATGCCTGAAGGGTGAAACCCCAGTTTTGCTACTTACCAATCTTGTGACCTTGGAAAAGATGTCTCGCCTCTCTGAGTGCCAGTTCTTATAATGGTTATAATCTTGAGCTCACAAGGTTATTGTGAAAATCAAATGAGTCAGTGAGTCTAAAACCTAGTACACTGCAAACACTCAAAGAACGTTTCCTTCCCCTTCCTCTTTATAAACTACTGTGAATGCATTCCACCATATTAACGCCATTAAGTCTTTCCATTTTATGCCTTTTTTATTCATTTCTTAGCCTATTTATTCAATAAATATGTGCCAGCACAACACAAGGCACCTGAGAGAAGACAGCAATGAAATCGACCCCCTCTGGCCTCCAGAAACTCCAAGCATCTGAGCACAGTTCTACAGGATGACTAGGGGTTAGGACAGATGAGCAGGGAGAAGAGGGGCAGAAAATGCCCAGGCCTGGAAGAAAGAACATGGTATATTCAAGAACCTGAAAAAGGTTAAGTGTGGCTAACGCAAGGCAAAAGAGAAAAGATATGAAGTGAAGAAACTCAACCTTTGTTTCCTTCAACACTAATCATGATCCATGGGTCTGTGTTTGTTGTGGAAGGAAGAGTTCTGGTCCCCATAAAAAGTAAGTGAAAAGAACCCTAAATCATTCCTCCTTAGACCTTTCTTTCACAAAATAATGGAGCCCTGCATTTATCTGGGGGTTGCTGGGGATTGACTAGCAATCAAGAGCATTGTGGACCTGAGTATTCCCCCTAGTGGGCAACTCCCTCCCTTATCCTTCAGAGCCCCAGCAGCTGCCCACCTGCCCTGAGTTTGTAGGGGGAATCCAGGCTCTTAAGGTTACCGACCCCTTCCTTCTTTAGATGCTGGTTCTGTCTTTTGGGGTCTTCCACCCTTTCCTTTCTGGGGTCATAAAGCAGCTACATGTGTGGGCTAGGGTATCCCTGATTGTCCCTTGGGAAGTCCTAGAGGAATGTGAACTCCGCAGAGGTGATAGAAAGCTACTGTCCTCCAGATGACTGTGAGGACTGAGGAGGATCCTGAGTAAAATCTTCACAGACAAACTGGCTTCCTGAATGGGATTGTATTTCCTACAACTCTGTTCTACACAATTAGTCCCACAATCAAAAGCAACACCAAACCCTACATTTGCAAGAAATATGATCTTTCCTGAGCTAATTTTTAGCCACCATTCTTTCTTGGCATGTTCTACTTTGTTTGTCAAAAATGTTCATTAATGATTAACCAACCACAAGATTTAAATAGTCCTTAGTCATTCTGAGGCTGGTAAGACAAGTCCCTGAAGCCCAGTTGTTTCTGAGATGACCTTGCTGGGGGGTGCTGGGTCAAGACATTTCAAGCTTATGGTATTATGATAACACCAAGCCATGCTATTTCCGTTTTGCAGGGATTTTTTCTCTCTTCTTTCAGAATCTTTATTCCAAAGAGTGGGGGCACCAGAGAATGGTGTTTCTATCAGCCTCATTCTCACCCCAGTTCAAATGTGGCCACTTGACACTTTCTCAGTCTTACATAAAGTGTTATGAAACTCAGCTCTGCTTTCCAAATACATTGTCCCCTAAGAAGAGAAATTCTGGAAATACAATTGATTCTATATGTGCATTATTATAGAAGGGAGATCTATAAGCACAAAAGGCTCTAGCAAAAATTATTTATTCAACTCAACTTTCTCCTCCTTAAGTACAAATAACTGACTACTGAGTACCCAGTCAAGACTTGGCTAGAGTGAGCATTTTTTTTTCTTATTCTTTATTTTCTTATGTTTAGGAATAATGTTAAAGCCTTAGTGGATGATCCCTCAGCAGGATATAGAAATAATAGTTGACTGTAACTTACTCTATGCCTATTGAATATTTACTATATGTCAAGTAGTTGACACAGTTTTTTTTTAATATTAAAAGTAATATAGATACAGAATTTGGCACATATTATATGCAGCTTATAAGGTACATACAATATGTAACTTTATAAGGTGAGTGCATCCATGTAACCAACATCCAGATGAAAAACAGCATTCCAGAAGCTACCCTACAGCCCTTTCTAGTCATTATCTCCTCACTAAGGGTAACTACTAGATTGACTTCTAAAATTGTTTTGTATGGGTCATTTTTACATACCTGAGATAGCTATTGCTCCTATTCCACTTTTACATATAAAAAGGGCAGAAGGAGATTTAATAACTTCTCAAAGTTCATATCAGTGGCAAGTGAAAGAGCCTGGATTTGAATCCAGATTATCTAACTCCGGACCTGGGGATGGGGTTGAGTCAGGGCAATTATAATTCATCCATTTTGTAAGTACTTAAAATCAATGGTCGGTTCTACAAGTCACGCTGATCTAACAGTCACTTCACCATAAAGATCATTGGAGCCAGTGGAAAGGAGAGAGAACAAATCGGTATGAATGCCAGGATCCTGGGAACAAATCTTTAGGAGTCTTCAGGCCCTGTAGATTACTCTCTTACTTTCTTTTTTTTTTTTTTTTCCTGGTGGTTTCCAAATCTCTTCCACACTAGTGAACTTTGCTAATCTTGCTGCAGTTTATTTAAAGTTCACTTCCCTCTAGTAGTGTCCACCCAACAAACTTCTACTCCTTCATCAAACATTTTTTGAGCACCCACTACTTAGTAAGCACTGTGAGAGGCATTCAGGGTAGAGTTCAAGAAATCCTACTTTCAAGACAGAACATTTGAGAATGAGTTATAAATCACGGGAGAAGTGTTAGGCCAAAGATCAACTCCTTCACTTGGGGACCACAGAGGAGGGTCTCTTAACCCTAAGGCAGGGTTTCAGGGAGCTGTTCCTGAAGAGAAGAGAACCATACTAACTCCTGATGAGGGCTGATGTGGGCCAGAAGGGATCTTGATAAAGGGA